ACGTTTCAGGTTGAAACAACACACGCACCTCGCACCTATAGGATTATCGGTCTTGGTATGTATGGGCCAGATCGCCAAATGTTTCCATGGAATAATAATGTGAGTGGCAAGATTGAGCAACGCACTGTTCAAGATTATTTCGAGAAGGAGTATAAGAAACCAATCAAATACCCTAGACTCATCTGTATACAGGCATTCCCCGAGGAAAAGAACATCTATCTACCATTAGAAGTATTTTAACACTTTATTTATTATTGAGATAATCTTTCCCCAGTTACGTTTGTTTGATTCATATTTATGAACATATTGTATAGTACTCATGAAACATCTTTCAAATGTGAAATATTCTGCTACAGTATTGTGTCATCGCACGTGGCCAGCGTTCAGTTGGAAACCTCAGCAACAGTGAAGCAGGAAACTTTATCCGCTCGTCCGCAATTCCACCGGGAAAGCGTCTTGAACAAATTAAAAGAATTTACAATGACAATCAGTTTGCAAATGATGAGATGATTACAAGCCTGCAGTTTGAGGTGGCAAAATCTGTGAGTATGCATGGCACTAAATTCCGTCATATCTTTCTTGTTTTATGTAGTATCTTCAATCAGGCTGGTTAGAATCCAGACTGTCAGACATGCGAGTTGTGATGACTTTTGTGAACAGTTTGTAAGTAATTTAAAGTAGACTTATCCCCTTTATATGAATCATATATATATATATATATATATATATATATATATATATATATATATATATATATATATATATATATATATCTTCATCATCATCATCATCATCATCATCATCATCATCATCATCAGCCTGGGTCAATCCACTGCAGGACGTAGGCCTCTCCCAATCTTTTCCATCCATGTCTGTCTTGCGTTTTTTGTTCCCAGTCTTGGCCCCCAAATTTCGCTATTTCATCGCGCCATCTTGTCAGAGGTCTGGCCCTTGGCCTCTTAATGTTATCTATAAGCCAGTCTATTACTTTCTTTGTCCATCTGTTGTCCTGTCTCCGACATATATGACCTGCCCATTGCCATTTTTTCTTTTTGATGCTCCCGAGTATATCTTCCACTTTTGTCTGGTCCCTAATCCACGTCGCCCTCATCCGATCTCTTAGACTAATTCCCAGCATCAACCTCTCCATCCCTCTCTGGGCACTTATTAGTTTCCTCTCCAGTAATTTGGTTGTAGTAGATGTTTCTGATCCATAGGTCATAACTGGGAGGATACATTGGTTGAAGACTTTTCTTTTTAAACATAGTGGCAAGGAGCCCTTTAGTATGCAACTGTGTCTGCCGAAGGCGCTCCAGCCTAAACTGATGCGTCGCTTAATTTCCTCTTCGCTAGATGTGTTTGTCTGTACGAGTTGCCCTAGGTATATATACTTGTCTACCACTTCTAGTGCTTCGCCTTGAACATATATCTCTTCAAATTGAACTCTACTGTTGAACATGATCTTAGTCTTTTTCTTGTTCATCCTAAGACCGACTTTAAGGCTCTCTCTATTCAAATCATTTATTAATTGCTGCAATTCATTTGCGGATTCACTGAAGAGAACAATATCATCTGCAAATCTTAGATTATTTATGTATTCGTCCCCAATTTTGATACCCTTTCCGATCCATTCCAGCTTCTTGAATATTTCCTCAAGGCAAGCTGTAAACAATTTTGGTGATATGGTATCGCCCTGTCTAACACCTTTCTTAATTGGGATTTTATCGGTTTCTGTGTGGAGCTTGATGGTTGCTGTCCCATCTTCATATACATCTTCTAATAATTTACAATATATCTCCTTTACTCCCTGTCTTCGAATAGCTTCTAGTACTGCTGGTATTTGTACAGAGTCAAATGCCTTTTCGTAATCAATGAATGCCATACACAGGGGTTTCCTATATTCGTTTATTTTTTCTCTTATTTGGTAAGCGTGTGTATGTGGTCTGTGGTTGAGAGTCCACAGTCTAGACCTTGCGGAAGGCCTTGCCCTGTTCTCTCTAGGCTGTTAATATTACTGCCAGCGAAAGCTGGTGTCTGATGATGGCTAGATGTGAATGATTTCAATAGTGAACCAGATTTTAGTAAGAACTGACAGGGAGACTAAAATGTCGGGCCGGGGGTAGTTTTATAAGATGCATTCCTTGTCCCCCTTATTTATGAATTAAAATATAATTAGTATCATATTTCCAGGCTTTTCTCCTTTCGGAATTTTCCATAGAGAAGGCATTTGTATAAAAAGATTGGCTAGTTTATCCAAAAATCACATTCACACTGTTGCAATATTCTCTCCCGCCGCGTCCAATTATAAGGACTATACTAATAAGATATGAACCGCGTCTATTTCTCGTCCTTCCGCCAACTAGTGTTTTTTTTTCCACTCTCCTTCTTCTCTACCAAATTCCACTCTTCCCAACCCTCTCCTTCACTTCTCTGTTCCCCCCCCCCCAACCTCACACCTCTCGTAATCTCATCTTCAAGCCTTAAAAGCGCTCTCGTCGCTCTATCTTTAATATCTTCTGTTTGATATCAGGTACTTCACTAGCTAACCAGCATTCGCTTCAATTTGTGGGCAGTTCAGTTGGTTTTTAATAGGTCCCTGTAAAAGTTTTCTCCATACCTTATGATTTTCATTCTCATTATGTTACCGGTCTCCGTACCTGGTATCTTTATTCCTATAATTTGATTTCTTTCTCTTTCGTTTTTCTTCTCCCTATTGTGGCTATTATCACCTTTTTATAAAAAATAAAACAAAAAAAATTTTAAACATGTTTCCCCCGCCCATTCATGCTTGGAGACCCAAGATAACACAGTTTCATTTAAATATTTAGAGAGTATTGAATTTTTCCGTCCGTACAAAGTACAATCTACACTTACAAAAAAACAAAATCTTCTCTCAATTCACTCCTCCCTCCATACACCCGAACTTCTCTCATCTTCACTAAAAAAAAACTTCTCCTTCATCTCGTCTCACTCCACTCACTTCGCCCAAAATCACTTACAAAACAATCTTCCTTCCACTTCTCAGCTTCTTTTTATTTATAGTTTTTGTTAGTTCAGCTAATTCTATTTTGTCCCTATTGACGAAGCTTACTAATGCCTCCAGAACGTTTATTGCATAAGTTTTCTTTACTGTTTCCCATCGAGAGCTTACTGGAGCTTTTTTTTGACGGTTCACTTACTATTTTTATTTAAAAACCGGCTAACTACTTCAAGTGCAGCTTTTTTTAATTATTTATTTTTTCATTTTATTATATGTCATAGAAAAGTTTTGTTGTTTGATTCTATCAATGTTGAGAGGATGATCCCACTTATTCCCCCACTACTTCACTGTTTTTCACTGTGATAAGGAAAATAAGAATATCTGTTTTGGATGATAAAGGTAATATGCAAAATTCTCCTCTGTCTGAAATTCCTAGCTTGTTCGGTCGGCTTTGGGTCTTCAATTTAGCTAAGTTTGGCTGCGTTTATTTATTCCTTTCACTTCTGAATAGTAATTTAATAAATTTGGCCTCTGACCACTCGGATGGTGGTCTCCTGCCAACTTTTACTTTAATAAGAACTTCTTACTTTATTTTTACTATATCGTAACGCACTAAAAAATTATGAAGACTATTAAATTTCGTTTTTGAATTTCCGATGGCGTACTATCCATGGTCCGCTTGATTTAGTCCCCGCGTTTTTTATTCCCGCTATCTACCACTTTCCCCGCTCTAGTCTATATTTTTTTTCGAAATGTTTTTTTTATTTTCGAAGAATGTATTCATGATATTGAGTGATCGATCCTCCCGCAAAGTCGACTAGCATTTGTCCCCTCTCATTCCTAGTGCCTATTCCGTGATTCCCCACTACGGTTTCTCCTTCTGTCTTTTTACCTATTTTGGCATTGAAGTCTCCCATAATTATTGTGAAATGGGTTTTAACTCTTTCGCTGGCTAAATGGACATCTTCATAGAAGCTTTCTATTTCGTCATCACTGTGGCTGCAGGTTGGAGCATGGACTTGAACAATCTTTAAGTTGTACCTGATATTTTGTTTTATTGTTACTGGTGCCACACTTTCGCTTATACTATGGAATTCTACGATATTCTTTTCTAAACGTCTGTGAACTAAGAAACCTACCCCTAATTCTTGCTTGCTACCCTGAGGTTTACCTCTCCAATAGAGCACGTGTCCATCATTTAGTATCTTCTGTTCTTCGCCTAGTCTTCTAACCTCACAGAGTCCCACAACATCCCATTTAATGAAGGAGAGTTCCTCAAGTAATGCTAGTAAGTCGGATTCCGTTCTCATTGCCCTTGTATTATATGTGCAAAGGTTCATCAACGTGGGGCGGCCTGTTCTTGGCCGGAGATTCTTAGCACCCTCTGCTCCGGAGCAATCCTGATCGCCGCCGTAACCAGGAGCTCCTTCGCTTCCGGGGAATGAGGGCCTGTTTGCTCTGTTTGTGCAGTCATGGGTTTTGATTGTGAGGTAGACAGCCGAGTTACCTCCCGCCTACTGGCCTAGGTATATCTTGTTGGGAGGGGGAGTATTTTAGCCGGGATGCCACTGATAAGCCCCTCCAGCAAGGTTGGCTCTGTCTAGTGTGGACTTATCAGCAGCAACACACGGGCCTGCTCATTACACAAGGGTATACTTCCGTGAGCGTGGGATTGAGTATCAGAAGTGCGTATAAGTGTGGTTGTATTTTATACACTGATTTTATTTGTGCGTATGTGCGCTCAGTGCAGACATAGTTGTTCACCCGCAAATGCCCTAAGTACTACGCATATGGTCACTTCGTGCACAATCACATGAAAGCGTACGCCTTTACAATGCACCTATGCATATGATATGTAAGGGAGCATATCATTATGCACCACTACACCTATGCACATGCATACACATATATAAACATGCGTGCACTTCATATGCGCATACACGCTTATGCACGCGTATTCATGGGCACATACTTTGAATACATACTTATGACTATGAATATCCATACAAATATATATACATACATGCACAGACACATACATACGTACATATACACATACACACATATATGTATATCTATACATTCATATACATATCCACACATATACATACATATATACATAAACACACATGCATATATCCACATACATACACATACATATATCCACCTACATACACACATATTTACATACACACATAACTGCCCATACATATGTACATACATACATATACCCATATATCTACACAGACACTTCTACTTATGCACATATATACGCACCTCCACAGAAACATATATGTACATACACATGCACATACTCGTATACATATATGCATTAATATAAGTACACCCATATGAATGCATGCGCATATACGCACATATACATATATCTATGTACACATTGATTCTCTTTCATGCACAGGCACATGGATACGTACACACAATTTTCATACATCAGCGCACTACCATGTATACGCACTCATACTCGTGCACAAACGTTTGAACGGTGTCTGCACTCCATTATAATGAGCCCATGCATTATAATGTTCATAGAATGTAGGCTTA